AGTGTGATCCATGCGCACGCCTCTTTCACTTGCGACGGCGCGCCCAGCGAGGCGTGCCGTGACTGTTTCCGACGAGGCTTGGACCGCATGGAACAAGGGTGCGAGGCCATGGCTGGAGGGACTGTCTGGCTCGACAACTGCTGTTTTAGGTACGAGACAGCTTACGACATCTGCTGATCTGCACCTAGCTAGCTGGCTAGGTTCGGCTCATATCCTGCTGGAACATGCATGGATCCTAGCTATAGTTATGGTGATGATGATTGATGAGAACTGACGTGCCATTGGAATCGCTGAAATCATATAATCACTACTGAAGTTGCATACGGTTTGCTGTACTGCTTCGATCGAGTAGAGTACTCACGTGTCGTTTTTTTAATTTTCTGGTCTGGCTACGCTCCGAGATGTAATGATCTTCTGTTCCGATCAATATATGATTATCTTTTGTTAAAAAAACAATCGAGTAGAGTACTCGACGTGTTTGAAGGTTGTGTACCTAAGTACGTACGCGATGAATAAATGGTTGTTTTCTTTTCGTTAGCCACAAAAAAAAAATAGATGGTTTATCCATAAATTTCACTTTTTAAAGTTGAGAAAATGAAAGGCTCAATGGGATTAGCAACCTGGGTTGATTGAGTATTGTAAAGCCCAGCACTAAATTTGGATGGCCCAGTATACAAAGGGCTTTTTCCTGATGGCCCATTCATCTTTGTTCATTAGGCCCAAAACAATAGGCGTCACTAAAAGTCGAAAGATCAAGCCAAATCCAGTGACAATAAGTAATTAACGAGGGACTCTTATAAGGGTTTGGATGTGTGGTTCCAAGAAGCTTCCTTCTCTAGCTAAGTACATTCATCTCATCCATTCCACATTTCGTCTATATATAAGATCAAAAGCTAATCCCATTACTCAATCAATTAATTATTGAATGGAAAGTAACCCTGTCGATCATTACCCATAGCTATATCTCAAGGGATGGAATTAGTGCATAATTAATAAAGATTAAATAATATTATAACAAGTAGCAACAATATATAGTGAAGTGGGATTTAATATTAATTATATATCATTGTCTCCCACTTCGTTGAACAAAATGTATAGGGCCGACAAATATTCATTGTCTTTGGACATGCACTTAATATTTACATATCTACATTTCTATTATGATAATAATTATGTCATTTTCGAGCATCATTTTTAGTCACCCTGAGGTAATTAACTAGGATTCAATATTGACGACCTGATCTTGACGTGCACTATTTTTGTCTTATGGTGTTACCACTGAAGTTGGTCACCCCATGGATCTATGTTGTTTGAGCTAGGTAGCTACTCCACACAATCATATTCGAGTTTCGGTTGGATGTGGATCAATGATGTCTGTACGTGAAAGACAAATATTTTTCGAGATAGGCTCTGAAATTTCGATAAGTATATTGTGTTTGTATAAGATAAATTTTACAGGTGAATAGCATGAAGTAAAGTTAATTTAGAGAAAATATCGTAGGGAGATGCAGGTTAAAGTGAATTCGGCCTATTAGGTCAATCGACATTGTAATTTGTACTACTCGATCGAGTTTGAATTTACTTGAAAACAAAAACTTTTCGAACCAACGTAAGTACCGGCATCAATGGTCCTAATCTCTCGTTCTCTTTGTTGCTAGCTAGCTACACCCAACTAGTAGTATCTTAGTTGGTCGACACTCGAGACACACATATATACCTTTTTTCACCCAAGATTTTCTTTGTGATCAAGACGGAAAGTTGGGGCTACGTACTCATGCATCCAGCCACCAAGTTTCTTTCTTCCTTTCCTCCGTCGCTTTGGAAAAGGGAATCTTGGAAATTTATGTGGCGGCTACCAAAAGATTGATTTATATAGCTGATTTGGACCTGGCGCCTTACCCACATCCCATCCAACTAGCCATGGCTGCTGGGTTGGGTTATTTAATTTATATTTCATATATGAACATGAAGCTTCTCAGCACTTTCCCTTCACTACTGATTTTGATTTATCCATATTTAATTCTTTTGTTTCAATTTTTAATAGGGTAATCTTGAATGTTTGTGTAAGTGCTGACGCCGAATTCTCTTTCGGACAATTTTGTTTATAAATAAATATTAATATTTTTGACGATTCATGGGACATGGGAAGCGACAAGATCAACTGTGTGCAAGTTGGGAGTCATAAGTACCCTGTAAGCTAGGGTTTTCGGATAAACTAATGGCCACAGAAATGGTTCAACCGTTGGTTGTTTGACTATCTGGTTAGTGCATTATATATTCTATGCTAGATCGATGGGAGAGTTTGCTAACTATAAATGTACTTGTAGCTCAACTAAGAGCTATAGAAGATTCGGATGCATTTGGGGAAACGGTGCGATTTGGTCAAACTCAATTGGGATTGACCTGGTTAACCGGGTTGTAGTTTTGCTAAAATAGAAACTGAAATCGGATTGGATTGGATTGAATACGACTTAAAAAGTGATTGGATTAGATGGATCTGATCCGAATTGGTTTTAAACACAAAAACCAAAGTTTTACAAATTTCGTCTAAGGTAGCTCGTTTGGATGGGATGGAATTTAATTTAATCAAACTCAATTTAGTCGAGCTCCAGCACTGGCACTCCCACGCAATCCTAATTCATCTTCTTCAGATTCCATCTCTCGTTCTTCTCATATCTCCTTCTCTCTGTTTGACTTCTTCTTCTCCCCTTCAGGGCCGGAGATTGTATCAGTTCGTGCTTAATTCGGGGTTTGGTTTCAAACCAGGCCAGTTTAAACTACGTACCCAGTTTTTGATTTGGCCAAAAAATCGTAACGGTTTGTTCACACACATGTCTTAGTTAGGAAGGAATGCCACATGCACTTATACCCTCCACATACAAAATCCTCTCTAATAATTACCACAATGTACAAATAAAAAGGAAAAGCTCGTTGACTCGGACTTAGAATTCCTAGTATTTTAGCCAAAACCATAAAGGAAGTAGAGTTTTCGACAGTCCAAAAGACTTGTTATAGCCCATCCGGATGGATTTTTGCCTCGTGCCTGTTCCTACTCCTCATATGATCATTTTAGGGGTGCTTTGATGTCTCAAATACCTTGTGTTAACGGCCAAGTTATACAAGCTTTAAAAGGAAAGGGTATTCATCAAACTATTTAGTACAACCGATCGACTAACATATGTTCAACGAGCACCTCTTCTCATATGGTCAGTCTTACTCTATACAACGTAAGTCACAAACTATTTGGTATAACCAACTAGCAACACTGAATCAGACAATATCCATTCCCATATTCGTCATCATTAATTATCAACGTTATGTATCGATATTTTCAACCCCCATCCAACAAACTTACAAACTCGATACACTAGTTCCTACAAACAACAAAGACAATTGATAGCCATGGCATTTAGAACCTAAGCTACGAGGTGATGATAACTGGTCTCTGTCTATCCTTTTCAAAAGAGGCTCAACATCAATCCTCCTAAGAAGAACGCGTATGTGCATTTATATGGTTCGTGTCCATTCCCGGTAGCAACTAGAATTAGAACATGCATGGAAAACAGGAAAAGACGAAAGACCAGTCGATGACGTCATGTGAAATGGTCACGTCATAATTCCATCTCCAAAATAAAGGAAATTTCAACGCACCAAAATTGGATTAAAGAAACTATGTTAAAAAGAAAATTTGGAGTAAAGAAAGTACTTGGCTTCAATTATAATTATTAAACAAATATAGGACTGAATACACTGAATGAACCCCGATGAAGACACGCGAGATAGAGAGAGAGAAGGGGACACAAGGTCCACGTGGTCGCAACTGATTGGTAGTCCACCAGACCAGCGCTGCTTTTGACTACGACCGAGCGAAAAACCGAAAACCCACAACCAGTCAACGAATATCAAGAGCCAACTTACTGGTTTGGGCCGACTTTCAACTCACGTTCCCCCCCCTCCGGCCCAATCTCGTGACGCAAGCGCTGACGACAAAAATGACCCCACACCATCCAAAATTTAATTTCACCCTGTCTCATTGGCCCACGTGTCGGCACCTGGAGGCCTCACGGTTCCACTCACTGAGAAAAAGGCAATGAGCTGCCGCAGCCAGCAATACAGGAGGAAGTCAAACAACCAAACCCATTATTCCTAATCTCTTTATTTTCTTTTTCAACCAATTCAATTCAATATGTGGAACTTTGTTACTTTATTTTATACAATTTTCCAAATCTAAGTTTTTATCTGTTAAAATGATTGGTCTTTGATAACTTTCCCCTCAGAACTTTGTCAAGGAGAGAATGTTAGAGAACAGTATATTAAATTACATACTAATTGTTGATTGTTACTCGTGTGATTTATTCATGATTAACAGTAGAACATAGAATATTACGCACCGTAGATTGCTTTGTAAATATATTAAATGCATGGTCATATTGGCGTCAAAAAAATTTATATGATAAGGAACCTGATTTTGTGAAATATAATTTACAACGTGCCTTAAATTACACAACACCTGCTAGCCACACTTTTAATTCGCAAAAGAAAGTACCTTACATTATAAATTTTATTCAGATTTTGCAATAACTCGTGATTTTTATTATAACACACTAACAAAACAAAGAAAACCAACTTCAAAGTGCTCAATTAGTTTTGAAATATCAAACTGATCATCGAACTCGTTACTTCATTAATCGCATTGATATTTTTGTGGTCCTAATGGCCCAATTGATATTTTGAGTTTTGACCCCCTCGGCCGACTGATCTCCGGCCCGACCAGTACCACAAACCAACCCGCACGTGACTCTTTTCAAAACTGATCTCCGGCCCGACCAGTACCACAAACCAACCCGCACGTGACTCTTTTCAAAAACCCTATCACTATCACCATTCTCCCCCCACTCTGTTTATATAAATCGCCCATTTCCACACCTCCCATTATTCCACACAGAAAAATCTCATCTCTAATCTCTCAACTCTCAGAGCAGCCCAACCAACAGAAAAGAAGAATCCCACCGGAGAAAAAGAAAGGAACAGAGCAGCACACACCGCCGGAATTTGAAAAACCCAAATGAAGTCAACGGTTGCAGAGCAGCTCAATTTACCCGCCGGATTCAGATTCCACCCCACCGACGACGAGCTCGTCACCCACTACCTCTGCAAGAAATGCGCCGGCCAGAGCATCACCGTCCCCATCATCGCCGAACTCGATCTCTACAAGTTCGACCCCTGGGAGCTTCCCGGTGAGTAATTTAGCTTAGACCCAAGAAAAAAAGATGTCGAATTTAATCCACGAGCTACCGAATTTGACCCTTTTTTTCTTAATTATTGGCAGAGATGGCGTTGTACGGCGAGAAGGAGTGGTATTTCTTCTCTCCGAGGGATAGGAAGTACCCAAATGGGTCGCGGCCGAACAGGGCGGCGGGAACAGGGTATTGGAAGGCGACCGGAGCCGATAAACCGATCGGAAAACCGAAGACTCTGGGGATAAAGAAGGCTCTGGTTTTCTACGCCGGGAAAGCTCCCAGAGGGATCAAGACGAATTGGATCATGCACGAGTACCGCCTCGCGAATGTGGATCGCTCCGCCGGCAAGAAATCTGGACTCAGGGTAAGCAATCGGAGGTCCGAATATTCGCTCTTCCCAATTTAATTCAGTCTTATCTGAATCGAATTGGGGTTAATTTTTTTGTGAAATGTGATAATTAATTTTGGGTTTTTTTTTTGGGATTCGACAGCTGGACGATTGGGTGCTATGCCGACTCTACAACAAGAAAGGAACCATGGAGAAGCATTTTCCGGGCGACGAGGAGACGAAATCGGTAAAGGTCCGGCCGTCGTCACCTCCGCCGGAGGACGAGGACATGATGTGGGCGGTGGAGGAAATGAAACCCAATTTGCTAGAGATGCAGCAGGAACAGTTTTGGGAGATGTCGACGCCGGAAGAGTCCACGTCGGTGCCGCCGCAGCTGCACACTGACTCGAGCAGCTCCGGCGAGCATCAGGCGGTGTGGTCGCCGCCGGAGAACAAGGAGGTGGAGAGCCGCAGCGGCGGCGGAGGAGGTAACGAACCGAACCGGAATTCGGGTTCGAACAACCCAGCGAACAGCTTCGATTTTGGGTTCGGGTTCGAGTTTCAAGATTTCGGGTACGGGTTCAGTGGCGGGGACGACAGGGTCGAATCCGCCGGTGCCGGCGGAGGGAATTCGGGTTCAGGAGGAGGGTTCCAGTTGGATCAGCAACAGCTGCAGGAGATGTTCATGTATATCCCTGAGCCGTTGTTTGGATTGAGAATTGTGTGACTTGGTAACTTGAAAGGGGGGTTTATGGGTTAATTTTTATAGTTATGGTTTTGTGGATAACATTTTGGTTGGATACCTATTTTGATTAGAAATTTTGTTAGGGTTTAGTGGAATCGTATGGTTTAGGGTAATGCAAAAGGCATAATGTAACCATTGTGAGGGAATTCTTATAAGATGGTAACATATGAATTCATTTCAAATTTTCATTCCTAAGAATTTGCAAATCGTATGGTACCGACAGTCCAACCGAATAAATCGTCAATCAGAGTCTAAACCGATAAACGATTTTAACAACACGAAACGGTTAAACTACAATTTTAGCACAAAATAATTTACTACTAACTTTTTCGAACAATTTCCAATACCATTTTACAACCTTTGAAAAAAAAAGTGAATGAAATTTGTTTATATTGTTCATAACTTGACTCTTTCAAGTCCAAACTAGGACTAAGTTGTAGAACATTATCCAAAACCAAATTGGAAATTCAATAGGGTAGATTAAAATTCCGGGGTGATGAAGCGTACACCATAAATCTTATTTAAGGTGAAAATATTATTCATACTTCATATGCTTTGTATCTAGATAACGTATACATAAATTTGTCTTGATAATTTGTATAAACCATAATTATTCATATTCCAGAAAATGATAATGTGATAGCATAAAGAAAAACAATGATAAAATCTCCAAAAATGCATTTGCATATATGGTGTTAGTAATTTGTGCAAATCATAATTATTCATGTTCCCAAAGAATTATAATAAGATGGTATAAAGAGAATGTTTATAACACTGATAAAGAAAAGTATATAATCAATTTCCATATAATGATATGGTTTCTCATGCCAACCATGTCAAATGCACCTTACTCTTCCTACTAAACTTGTGACCCAAGATTAAGATTTAAGACTATAAGGTTGTCAATAAGATTTAAGATTTAAGATTTAAGATTTAAGATTTAAGACTATAATGTGATAGCATAAAGAAAAACAATGATGAAGATCTCCAAAAATGCATTTGCAAATATGGTGTTAGTAATTTGGAGATTTAAGATCTCCAAATTAAGATTTAAGATTTAAGACTATAAAGTTTCATGAGGGTAGTAAAGTTTCTGTCGCAGTGCAGGCATGTTGATCTTCCATGGCCAGGAGGGGAGGACGCCAAAGATCTCTTCATAGCCTTTCTTCCATTTGGCTTTTCGTTTCTCGTTTTTTTTTTTTTCCGCTCAGCGCCTGAGTTTCCGTTTCAGCATCTTTCCATTTTAGCAACCCTAGCATGCTTTTCTCGTTTCTTTCGGAAAGCAAACATGCTATGGGAACCGGAGAGAAGGTGTGCGAGATGAAGCTCAGGATCGGTTTTGCTTTTTCTCGCAAATGAGAGAGGAAGAGATCGAAGAAATTGATTAGGTGAAAGAGTGAAGGAGGAGTTGCTAAGATAGTCTAAGTCTAGTCTCTTACAAACTCGCCATCGCCCGGGTAGGGCCTAGAGATAAGCACGGGAGTCGGGCCCACGATAGCGAACGACATGGATGAATCACTAATTTTCACATGGGTCAGGCCCAGGCCCAGGATCCAGAAGACTAGGACTCTAGGACCCTCCGTGATTACCTAGCCCAATCTAGCGATTATCGATTTAACCTGAAGTTACTACTTAGATCAAAGGTTAACCCGATCACCATTTAACCAAGGTTGTCAACCCACCGGTTGATTGACCCTGACTCGGTAAGAAAAATGGGTCACCTCATACTTATCAAGTGGATCCACTATAAGGTTACCGGGTTGGAGGTCACACTATATTGTTTTTCCCTTTCATTTGTGAAATAAGCTTTTTTTATTTTTCTCTTCTCCCTATGGTACATTTGAGATTTGATATATTTCATAAATGTAGGAATAATAATATTTTTTTGTACATTCAGACAAAATCGGACTGACCATTAACCCGCAACCCACTTATTCGACCGAGATTTGATATATTTCATAAGTGTAGGAATAATAATATTTTTTTATACATTCAGAAAAAATCGGACTGACCATTAACCCGCAACCCACTTATTCGACCGGGCCAATAGGCTCAACCGAGTTGACACCTTGCATCTAACCGATTAGCAGCCCTATGCGGGTTCCCCTTTGTATCCCTCCCTTTCTGTTCTGGAAACGCAAACACAGCTTAGTTAAGAAACTTAAGATCTATCTATCTGCGAAGTAGGTTCTGTTCTCGTAGGAGTGGGGAATCCGAAACCGCGACGGAGAGAAGAACGGCTCGTTGGTTACCATTTCCGTTTGGGTGTCGGAGATCATCGATGGACTGAGTCCCTTTATAAATAAAAAGGGCACGGAGCTAGAATACCATCATCTCAGTACCTCTAGCTATACCAATGGTGAGTGACATGATGAAGACGATGGTGATCTCCGAGGAAGAAGCAAATTGGTCGTGTTTGCCAGGTGAGCTTTTGGATAGGATTGGTCATCGTTTAATCAAGTTGAAGTATTTTATCCGATTCCAAGCTGTTTGCAAGTTGTGGAGAGTAGCGCAGTCTCGGTCTAGGTTTAGGCAATCCATGCCATGGCTGATGCTTCCTCATTGCCGCGACACTATCAGTGACAGTGCGACCGCATCGAGGGTTGGCTGTAAAGGTAGCGACTGCTGTAGGTGTTTCTACGATCCCGAGGATCGAACATTTCACCACATTGAGTTGCCCCAAGCTCTGGACAAGACCTGCCGTGGTTCTGCGTTCGGGTGGGTGTTTATGAGGGAGAAGCTGCCATCGGTGTTGCTGCTCAACCCTCTTAGCAAGGATGCGATCTATCTGACTCCGATCACCGCTTTTCCAGATGTGTTGGGGTTCCGCCCCGAGCTTGCCAGGAGGGAGTACTTGTTTGTGGATCAAAATGGGTTGCGAGTGGCGGAAGGGAAGAAGAATATGGAGCGTCACTTCATATTCCGGGTTTGTCTTTCGGCTGAGCCCACTTCAGAGGAGTGTATTGTAATGGTCATCCGCAAATTTGATGATCACACTCTAGCGTTTTGCAGGCCGAATCATGACAATAGATGGACATTGATTCCTCGTGGTGGGAACAATCCTGATCTGCCGAAACTGATTTCTTTTGAGGATATTGTGTTTTGCAGAGGTCAGTTTTATACCATCAACTATGTCGGGAAGGTTTATGTTTGTGATCTTTCCCTCCCGCATTATCCAAAGCTGTCGTTGTTTCTAGACGAGTTTTCTCGGACTTCTAAGATTTTTCGGAGTGCTAGCAATTTTTACTTATTAACCAGCCCTGCCCATGACGAGTTGATGGTGATTACTAGGCATGTAAGCCCCGATGATGATGATGATGAGTTGGAGACTGTTAATCCGCATGTAAGGTATCCAGAAAACGAGGATGGTGGTGTTGTTAGCGACGATGAGTGGATAGATGACGATGATGATGACGAAGATCTTCCGTCAGATAATGAGCAGATAGATGATGATGATGGCCATGACGATTACCATCCTGAGTTTCTGCCTGGCAATGATGGTGGTCACGGTAGAGTTGACATTTATGGTGTCGATAGCGAGTTAGATGACAATGATGATGCTGATGCTAATGAGACTCAATTGTTGACTGATAAATTCAGAGTTTTCAAGGCGATGGAAGGTAGGAATGGATGGGAGGAGGTTGAAGGTATCGGTGATTTTGCTCTTTTCTTGGGGTACAACAAGCCTACTTGGGTTTCCACCAGAGAACACCCTGAACTTGCTCCCAATTCTATATACTTCACGGACAATATGACTAGTTTGCATCGTCCTCGAAAACTTGCAGGTGCTGACATGGGTGTTTACGACCTCACTACTCACACCATCAGCCCATTCTACTGTACATCATCAGTCCACAAGAACCCTTCTTTGATTTTCCCATTACCCATATGGGTCTTACCCTCCAACTACTAAAAGGAGAAGTTATGGGTGTTCTTCTCCCCTGTTGGTGGTGTTCTGTCTACTCTTTTCGGATTGCCCAGTTACTCTTGTATCAGTTCCTCTTTCTTTAATTTAATTGGTCAAGCAATGTCTATCCTCTTTCTCATTGTGATTTTCTTCTTTTGACACTGTCAAGCTATGTATTTTTTATTTATCATACTGTCAAGCAATGCATTTCTATGGTCATAAGCTTCATGTATCAATTGGCTGTTATGATATATCATAAAGTTAAACCTTTTGTCAGTGCAAATCTCAGTCTCTCATGTTCAAAACTCAAATGCATATTTTTCTCCAAAATTCTGTACCATAGTTATATTTGAAAAGGTACATACCTGGAAGTTGTCAAATACTCTTTGTAGAATGTTATCATCAAATTGCTTCATTGCATACCATGGTCCATCCCCGACTCCAACAAAAACAATAGAGAGAGGACAATGGCTGTTGTGCAGAATATACCAGTACAGTTAAAACTTACAGTCAGCCCATGAATCATTCATTCAGGGAACAGTTCATTACATGGCAACAAGCCAACAACTATGAAATTCAAGGTTGCTTGTTCTTGCGGACTGCAACTCCCGCGTGGAATACCAGGATTCCCGGCAACCTTTATACGTGGGTTTGGGTAGTTAGTATCAAATCAAATAGCTTTTTTCAGAAGGAAGACAGTGTGCACAAATCATAAAGAAAATGAATGTCCAGACATTCATTTGCTTGTCAATGGCTATATCTAGTTTCAGAGAAAATCTTTAAGGTCAATTGACCAATGCCATTCCAATTTGTATAACATAAAGCTCCAGTATTTATTAGTTTGAAGGGAACTAGCATATGGGGTATGTGGCAATACTTGAAACATAACAGCTTCCATATGAAAATAACAGCTGAAAGAAAAACTCAGATGTCAGGAACTTGAAAATGAATGAAATACCTGCCCATCTGCAATAATAGCAAGGGCGTGATATTGACCATTAGTTTTCTGAATTCTCTACAATGTCCATTGCAGCATCAATGATCGGTTCAAATGAAGTTGGGCTTGGAGGTATTAGAAAGTAAAGACCATTGGTATGTTGCTGAATAAAATCTGGCTTTCAATCCAACACTATACTTGAGAGAGAGATTAACAAACCTGACAACTGTTAAGTGTGGAATGATTTCTCTGTATCGAGAAAGTGCCTCTTCAAAATCACAACAAGGGTGATGATCAGGATAAAGGCTGGATACGTATTCATCATATGTTTATACCATTGCTATGT